GCAATTCATGGCCACCAGCACCGATCAATCAGACATCAGCAAACCAGTCACAAGAGATGTAAGCATTCGTTACACAGGTACACTGCAGTTGACCCAAGCCACAGAAAAGCCTTTTCCAGGCTATGTTTATCTCCTTTGTCCCTACTAGCTCCGACAAGTGAAAAGTCACAAAAAAAATCTGCAGGTGCAAAATAAAGGGGTGGAGGATGTAAAAATAGGAACCAATAACTGAATATTCACAGAAGAAAATAGTCAAATTGGTTCTTGCATGCAGACAGCTAGCTCAAGATGAGAGGAAGAAAAAGGAGGGAAGTTTGCCTTCCCAGTTAACCTTTATGTTTCCCCACTGTAATTGCTGCAAGACTATCTGTTGGCAAGTCCAAAACCCAGCCTCTTTCTTAAAATGCAATTACAGGATCATGAAGTGAACTTTACGAAATACTTGTCATTAACTTACCAGATGGCTGCTCTAATACTAAGCCAGCAACACAGGGGACATGACCACTAATAATCAAGAAACCTTGCTGCTGGGGGGAACCACTTCAGTCAGATGTACAAGTGTCAGCTTAGAGAGACTAAAAATCTAACGTACAAACAAGTTTTTCCTTTTCAAATATGAAAGCATCAGAAAATAGGCCTGAATACCAAAAGACTCCCACAACATTGTTAGCTGCAGCCACCACGCATTAGTATTCCAGGTTTAAAGGTGAAGCAGGACCAAGACGCTCAGAACTTCAGGATGTGTTTGCACTGCCCAAGATAAAAGGCTACGTGCTAGCTCAGAGCTGCATGCCATCAACACCCAGCAGGAAGTTTTTGGTTTAGTCCACAGTTGCTGTCAGCACTGCCCAGAAGATATAGAGATATATATACACACACACGTACAAATATATATAGCTTTGACATCCTGAGTCTCCAACCTCCAATCCTTTCATGTGAGAAAGTTCTTCTGGCTGATGCTGTTACTTACCTTCCTTGGTTCAGAAAAATACTACTTCAAACATACTACTACGAAGGTCTCCAAGCATACACTCAAACGCTTTAGAGACGAGGCCTCTATCCAGCAGACTAGTCCTTTAAAACATGCTAAAAGTTCACAGTTTCTCTCTTTTTTGTATAGTTTATGTACTTTCTTTTCTTAATTCCTTTGAATTAACTGACCCAAACAGAGAACAAGCAAATATAATTTGTAGCATCAGAATATAAAGAGTAAATAAATAATTCTCTGCACCAAGAATACAACAGCAGCCATGCTGGGTCAGACATAAGACCATCTATCCAAGCGTCTGACAACAGAGGAACAGTCAAAAGCAGATGGCTAGGAAAAAAAGAGCATAAAAACATGGCAAGCATATGATACTTCTCCCAAGTATTCTTCCATCTGTGGCTTATTTGCTTCCTTGAGTTGAATGCAATTTCCAAATAACTTCTCTCATAATCACCAGATCGGAAAACTGGAAATGTTATTTGCTGTGAGCATTTACATAAAAAATAATCAAGTCTGACAACTTCTGCACACCCATTTCACAAGACTTGCGGATAAGAATATGAAAGATTTAGACTAGACTAAGCAGCTGATTTTTCCAAGACAAGGAGGGGTATGAATGTACAGCCAAGAGAAGAGTCCTCCCTAGAGTAACTGATTTACATTTCAGACCTAGCTTGGTAGAACAGGTCAGGTGTACACTTCTGTGATTTACCAAGTGATAACAACAGAGAAACATACATTTTAAGCACTTTGGGAAGCAAATTTAATTCTTCCTGGGAAAAATTTGACATTTTTCTGAATAACAGATTGAGAGATAATGCAAGATCAACAGTGATGAGTAAAAATATTTTAAGTAATTCAGAAGATCGGCAATTAAACTGATGTAGTACTAATATCGACGCATACTTAACTTTGGTCCATCACTGCTACTGCAAATATACTCATCAGCCACTGAAGTCTAATCTTGTAAAGACAAAACTCTGTATTACAGGAATGAAGCTTCAGTGTATTAAGGTTTACATCATTACAGCCAACCGCCTAACCATCAAAACTGAACTGAAAGTAAAATATAGGGGACTTCTCTGGAGGTAACAGTCCCCAAAATAATGCTGATAAGCAACAACAAAAATAAACATATGTTTACAGATTAAATACGTGAAGAAAGAAAATTTAAAAAAGGACATGCATTCCAGTTACGCTTGTATAATTATGTACTTTACTAGAGTACTGACCTAGTGTAGTAGTTACTACCAAGCATCCCCTCATTTTCTAGGCCAAATCTTCCATATTTCTACACTGTACATTGTGTAAAGTACTACTGGGGTATTAAGACAGTCATCTTGAGTTGGCACTCAGTATTTAGGTAGGTAAGATGGGTGCAAATGTTGAACTGTACTTTTGTCATATTGTTGCTCTAAAGAATTTTTAATCTCCTGGATGATCTTTTCTTTCTGGATTCCCCTATGTATCTATATGCACGCACAGTTAGAGAAAAGAGCGTATCTGTATTTGATGACCTTGTAACTGCTTCACAAGAATTCAGTGGTAAGCAATGTCAGGTTAATAAACAGACCAAAGAGCTAAATTTTAAACTCCTCCATACTACAATAATTCCAAGCTTACTTGGTACCCACCTGGTAGAGGTAAGACAGTGACACAATAGAGAGATAAGAGCCACAGACCAAGGACTGCAGATGTGGCCAGCAAAAGTGTAAGGTCCGCACAAAAGAAAAAAAAAAACCAAAACAACACAGGCTTTTGAATCCCCTTGTTGACTTAGCATCAGAGTTGCAGTGTCTACAAGGTCCCTTCCTTCTTCACCAGGACAGGAGAAAGCATTTACATGCCCTGGGAGCTGCTACTTCTTAAGAGATTAATGACAGCTGTTAATAAACCAGAGCCCACAGGCCCCAACACAGTCTAGCCCAGTCTTCGCAACTTGCATTGTTCTGCAGGAGCGCAAGTCAACAGGGAGATGGTGCAAGAGTCTGTACCTGACTCTGAAAGGCAAGGGAGAGGACACTGGGCTCGATGCTAATTCCGACAACAGAGGAGAATGAGGAAGACGTGATATGCCACCCTCAGTACAATACAACGACACTCTTCAACTGGTGCTCTGCAAATACAGCTCCAGCAATCCTGCTACAAGAGTCCTGCTGAGGCTCGGGAAGCAGCAGGAGCTTCTACTGCCATGCTAAGCAGGCACCAGCATCAGCAATGGCCCTGCTCCAGGGTACAGAGGGAACTCTGGCCACCAGAAAGGCGATGAGCTCTGAATGCTTGCATTGCCCCCAGACAGGTATCACCTGGGTGCTTCACCTGGCACGGGGAGAACCACCTGTGGAGCTTTCCAGATCCCACATAAAGCTGGAACCTGAATCCTCAGCTAACACTGAATAAAATATTGCAATAAGTATAAACAACTGAAAAAAGGGCTCTAAAACCAGAAGACAAAGCCTGGGAGAAACTTATTTTACAGTATATGATTTAAAAAAAAAAAAAAAGCAGAATGGTGTAAGGGAAATTACCAAAGAACAATCTCACCTAGATAACTCTTCTGTTGAAATAAAGCCCATTGCTAATCACCCACATGGGTCTGGCTTACTAGAAACAAGCAACAGTTGCCTGCAAGAGACTCCTCACAGTAAAACATGTCAGTTCTAAAACGGAAGTAGAGTTTTTGAAAAGATACTGCAAAGGACATAAAAAGTGTATTTAAAACAAAGCTACTGTTAGGGAGCTTTCATCATAGTAATAGATTAAGAAATGCAAGAAGCAAAAGCTCTTAAACATCTCCTTCCCCCCCTCCAAAAAGTGTTTCTGCGTAACTTCTCAGCAGTTTCATTCCCCCCTTCCTCCTTCTCAAGTCCTGATGCAGGAAAAGCCATTTTGGACTAGATTGTGACATGAAGTGACACAGCAAACGAACTTCCCTCCCAAACATCACCCAGAGGAAACTGGAATATTGCACGATGCTGCAGCTCCCCAAGTTTCACAAGAAAATATAATCTTCATTCTTCATATTGCCACTCACAAATTTTAACAAAATTCAGCTAAACCTGAAAACAAGAAAAACATTGAACAAGATCTTTCTTCCACGAGCAACTTAAGAGGCAAGAACGTTTGCAGACCTCATTTTTGAGGGTAGTCTGACCCTCTACATGACAGAGCGGAGCTTCCTGACCTAATAAGCAAGAGCAAGATATTCATATGACCAAGAGCACAAAGCACTTCTCCAGTCCGTGCCCTGCCAAGACTCCAAACCACAACCCGCGCTCCCTCCTGCACTCCAGCGATGCTGCCTGCTGCAAGGCAGCGGGCCAGACCACCCCTCGCTGCTACCCCAGGCAGAAACTGCCTGCAGCCCCTGCTCTCCGTGCGCTAAATCCTGATGTGCGGGCTCTTACTGCTGCGGCGAGAGCGCGAGCCACGTCCGAGCGGTTGGCAGGCGTCGTGCCTTTGGAAGTCCGAGCTTGACACCAGTGGATACCAGTTGGACATTTAAAAGCAGGCAGCGAGAAGTGATGAACAGGAGCTGTGACCTCTCTAACTCCTGCCTGAATTCGCAGTCAGTAGCCACCTCCCCGGGCAAAAAAAAGCAAACGGGCATCTATCTCCTCCGCACACCCACGTTTTGCAAAGCAGGTCCCCAGATGCTAGAGATCAGCAGCGGTAAGGCCCCTTTTGGCCCGTCAAAAAGGTGTTTTTTCTCAGACTTTGCAGCAGTACCGAAGTAAGGCGCTAAGCGCCCGCCCGTGTCCCGGCCCCGCCGGGGCAGAGCGGGCTTCACCTCGGCATCTCCCGGAGAGGCGAAGCTCTCCCGACCGAGGCCACCCGACCGCAGTCCGCGTCCCGTCAGCAGCCTTTACGCTAGGGCCGGGCCAAAAATTGGGGAAAAGAAAAAACACACGCCGAGCGACCGAACGGCGGACGGT